TTTTTCAAACTACTTGCATTCATTCTGAAAAAGTGTGTAATTTTATATTTTCAGGTTTATAAGAAATCATCATTTCATATAGTCTTTTCTCTAAGAGTTCTAGCCAACTTTCATTCTAATTCTTCCACCTAAATTTTTTGTCACAATTGATTTCACATATAAGTTTCTCCATTAGACAATTAGTCCCTAAAAAGGACCAAGTATATTGGTTGACACCCTATTCCATTTGCGGAGAATGAAAGCAATCAGGTCACTAGGCAACCACCAACTCTGAGTCCAGTATTCAATTCACCCTACCTACCACAACAAGATTCAAACATTCTGAGTTCCATATCTTTCATACTAGAAAACCATAAATAATTCTCACAAAGAATGAATATTTTTACCACTGACTGCCTGAAATTTCCAGCTCTTGTTTCTTACATTCAAACCCCACATAATAATCTTTTTCTTTTAACCTACGTAAAAGACAGATAATTAAACAACTTACCACAACCATAACACTACTCCTATTACCAAACAAACAGGTTTATAAGAGATAGGTGTTACATTTATAAACAGTGTTTCATACTTTTATGCAGCCAGAGCACTGCATAGTGACTTTCACATAGGTAGTAATCAGATTTTCCTATCAATAAGAAAAATGCCTTTAAAATAAGGAGGAATAAAATATAGAGCTCTCAAGGTTTCTCCAGCACAAGAACAGAAGATCTCTGTGAAGCAGGACAGCCAGATCTGGAGACCCCTTTCGTGGTAAACAATAACGCCAAATCATCTGTGTTATGCTGTATTTGCTATGCCATCTGATCTTTTCATGTCTGACAGTTAAAAACAGTGTATTGGACCAAAGACAGTGAAGATCAAAGTGATTTTTATTTCCTCACCTCAGTGAATGGTTTCTCTAAGAGAGAGGAGTGCATAATAACTCAGAAGGGAAAGCTGCTCTCAGAGGAAAGCCTGTGTGGTTTAACAGGGGAAGGCTTGTACTATCTTGCTTCTACTCAGAAGACAATATTCAGCTTAAAAAACAAGAGAGTGACAACAGATAATGTTATCTAGTAAGATGATTCAGAACTGAAACATTTATTTTATCTCTTCAAAATATATACTTATCTAGCATAAAAATAACTAGATAAAATTATTTAAATAAATGAAGATAATCTCATGACATTTACTGTACTTTCCAATTATTATTATTGCTTATTTTCTTTCTCAGAAAATTCAAAGCACCAAATTCAATCCCAAGCTCCACAATATGTTAAAACATCAAGATCTTTTTCAGCCTATTTTTTTTTGTACTTTGTTTGCATTGATAACCGGCTCTGAAAAATATGCAAGTTTTAAGTCTTTATGTAGCCCGACAGTTAGTCACTACTTTTACTGTGGTCTTTTTTGCTCTTTAGTGAATCTCATTCACCTCATTATCCCTCATGACAGACGATAAGCGAGATAATTTTATATACATAAAATAATTTTTTGGCTTTAAAAAAATAACATTTACAACAAACTAACTTATATCTTGAAATTGCAGGTAATCCCTTAATTGCTTTTTTCAGTCAAAGAAAAAAGATGCCTAAACTTGTCTTACATGCTCTAATTTCCATGTCATATAATTTAGCAGGAAATATACTCATGGCCTAACACAAATGCATGCATCTCCAAAGACAAAAATACACACCTCAGTTTAACAAAAAAAAAAAGCATGAAAATAATCATGGCAAATTTACAGCATTTAGAGAATTAAGTATAGACTACTGAGTTTAATTGCTGCTTCAAAAGAAACAGAAATGAGAAGTGTCAGGTACCCTGTTCGAACATCAAGAGCTAGGAGACTTCTGTTTACAGTGATGGTAATTCTGATCTAGTATTGGTGTCCCAAAACAAGAAAAACAATATACAAGGTATGACTTTACATCTGCCACAGATATTCCACACATCACAGAACACAAAAGTACATTTGCAGACAATGATATCTCAAAATTTGAAGGTGCTCATAACAGTTTGAAAAGTACTATGGGCAACGTGTGAGGACATCAGAATACCCTGGAGGACTTCAAGTGACACATCATGTTACTGGGTGAACACATTGTACACCCTATAAAAATACTTTCATTCCCGGGTCAGAACTTTCAGAAAAGTCTCTTTGCAAAAAGAAAAAAAAAAATTGCTTAGGAATTAATTCATTTTTCTGTTCAGAATACTTCCCTTAAATACAGAGATTCAAAAACTTCAGAGTGCTGGGAAACAAAGGGAAATTGTGCTGTTATTCATAGTTTATTGTATGTAGTATGCAAAGAATAACCATATTATTCCTCCTGACTCTAAATAACTTTTTGCTCAACTTCTGCCATAAAAGAATAATTTCTCGATCTTTAAGAACTGTAATCTTTAAACTCACCTGCTGCAAGTTGTGTATGTATTTGTTTATGAGGACTAATACTTCCTAGATACAGAAAGCCTTAGACAATGCACCAAAAAAATTGACTGAAGTCTGCTGATGGAAGATTTATCCATTTTTAGCAAATGTCAAATCACTGGCTATTGCTTTTAAGATTAATAAAAGATATAATGGTTTCTAGATAGCCTCTAAATAAAGATTACTATGAATGGAGAAATGATTTACCAATAGTCACCACAATGATATTTCTTTAAAGGTTACAATCATAAGTTATTTAGCTGAAACACTGCTGAGAATGCCTGGTCATTTCTTGAATAATGCATAATGTTCATTGTAGATCTGATCTGTATTATAACAATAGATATTTCTAAAATAATGGAGAAAACTATCTGTTACTTTCCAATTGCTCAAGATATTTCCATGAAGTAATTGACTCTGAAAATATTATATGGAGTCACCTTAGAGTTCATTTGCAAGCAAAACTCATAGCGATCACTACACAATAGGCATAAGAGAACAAACTCATCATCTTTCATAGACTTTTCAGGAAAGCTGTGACAAATACAAGGCAGAGTAAAGGATCTTTATGAAATCCTAAATTAAAAGGTATAAGTTACTGTACAGTACTGGGGAACAAATTTTAAACTAAGCTTTGAAATTTAATTATTAACACAAGCAGACCACCACATTGGGTAGGGATGGGGGAAGAGGAAGTGAGGGAGAGAGTGAAAAAAAAAGCAGTTCCGTACACCCTATACCATTCATATAGTTTTTGAAATATCTTTGAGTCTATTCAGGAGATTGCTTGGGCATGAATGAAGTATAATGTCTAATGTTTTATTGTAGGAATATCAACTATACTCCATACAAAGCTGCTAACTATTTAAATGAGCTTGTTTATCCTTATGAATTTCCTCAAGGGCAGCAAAAGTGACCTTAATAAATGAAAATGAATTTCTTTTGATGTTATTTCATGAATGTTTGATCAGAATGTGTTAACAGGACTCCACATAAGGAGAACTGGTGAAGCAATAAAATATACTTCTACTATACAGTTAATCCCGCTTATAGTGAATTCATATACAAAGAAACACCATTTATTAGTAATAATTATTATTTCAGTATTCTGACAAAAAAAAAAAAAAAAATCAATCCTAGTTAGTATAAAGAAACCCTACTCAAATATTATCAAAAGGAAAAATCCTTTTTTATCCCCTACATAGCCGTTATGCTTAGAGGAATGTGAATTAACTCATCAGAGGTTGGAAAGACATTAACTGTTTACGTAGGCTTTTTACAGGGAGGAACAAGACCTTAACAAGAACTTAACTTAGACCAGACTAGTTATGCTGATATCTAGGAATAAGGTTTAATTTTCCCTCAAAAATCTTTCCTTTGTCAGAATCTTTGCCCAAAAGGAAGCGTCAGTATTCAAATATATATTCTTATTCCACAAGAGGAGAACAAGAAACAAATCTCAGGTAGTCTGAAAATATACACAGAGATGAGACCACTTTCTACAGCATAGGACATCTAGTAGAAGCTTAGCTATACGAATTTTGGGAGGAATTATCTATTTCAATAGATAGATCGCAGATCCTAGAGCAAGTTCACTTTATATCCAGCTTGAAACAGTTGCTTAATTACCAGACGGCTCATCCTGGAAAAGGGGTGAACACTTGCATATTATATAAGAAGGCTGATGAACCATGTTATACTCATGCACTGGATGATGCAATTATCCTTTTTTTTTCTTCACTAAAATTATACATGGCATGGCAGACAATATAAATGAAATAAACGAAGTGATGCAAATATATCCAACTAATAAATCATCAGTCCAAAAGTCCTTCAGTTGCTGCCCTTCACGTCTATCTCCATCCACTGAAAATTATAACTTTGCTTTACTGATCTTTCTTCCTTTAAATGAAAGAGCAAATAAAAGCTCCTTTCACTGGCAGTACCAGTAACCCTTTGTGGGCGTTTCTGGTTTAATAAGCCACTATAAAAAATAATAGTTTGTAATACTTATCAAGCATCAAGACTCTTCTTCATAAATAGCATAAGTAAAAAAATTACACAAAAATGTTCAGTTTATACAAGTCACTGGAAACCCTAGTTAGGAACAATACACATATAACCTCTAAAATCAAAGATTTAAAAATTTTGATGTTACGTTCATGAACTAGAAGACACAATTCTGCCTTTAAGCTTTAATTATGGAAATTAAGTGATTGTTTGAGTCCTCACATCAAGAAATAACACCACGTTTCCCTCAAATACACCCATTGATAAAATATTAAAATAGGAAAAACAACATGATCATTGCTAGATAACTTCGAACAGTTAAATGTATGCTACCCAAAAGACTTACTGTTGTATTATTTATATCAGTAGGTTTGTTGTTAAATAAAAATAAATAAAAGAGGTTTATTTCACCTTCACATGGTGTCTTTCTCATGCAGACCTCAGATTTCCACATTTGTATCCCTTTAAAGGATTTGATATGCAGGGAAAGAAGAAAGGATGATGGTAAAAATTTCAATTTAGAGGTTACTAAAGGCTGCCATAGCCGATACAAAACAATGTATTTAGGCCATACCTTTTACTGATGTATTAGGTGGAGGTCCTTCCATTCTCAAGTTCCATGGAGGATCACCTTGATTAGCAAAGTCCCTCATTTTCAGATAGCTAATTGTAAGTCGAATGATGGATGCCTTGTCAAGCTGGCTGGTAATGGCTGCAGGCAGAGGCAACAACTTTGCCAACTCATAGAATTCAAAATTCTCCTTTCCCCGGCGAGAGCGAGCAGCATCTCGTGACTTTTCCTTTCTCAAAGCCTGTAAACTGAAGAAAATAAACAAAGTAGGACATTCATCAATATTAGTGTTATGTCATATGACATGAACTTGCTTTTTCATTGCTGATTTTCAATATACATTATGACATTTTAAAAGTGTTGTGAATGGATGTACAGACTACAGGATACATTTAATGGTACTCCAATCTTTGAATAATTAAAACTAATGACAGTGTTTTATTTTTAGTTGTAGACATGTTACATAACTGCTCCTAACTCATTTCATCCACTCTCTAATTAGCCTGTCCTTTATTTTTCTGCTGCCAGCCAGAAGAAAGGATTCCTAAGAATCCTTTATCTACACAGATGCTACTGCTCCTTCTGACCCACTAAAAACTATCTTCGTCCATATTTGTACCAAATTCTGACTCTCATGGGAAAGGAGGTTAGATTCAGATGCCTGAAGTGTGTGCTATCACTGACAGGGGTTGCTGTAGCGGCAGTCAATACGACCAGACAGGCTATAAACTTCTGTGGCTCAGAAGCTGCTTTAAAGTCTGGTGTAATAATGCAAACCTACTGAGATTTCAAGAAGTTAATCTTTGTGACTTGTTTAGCTGGCCTTGCTGTTGAAACAGTAACCATTTTCAGAGATTCAAGAAAGCAGTTAATGGAGTTATGCGCTTCATTTTTTCCAATTTTAATTCAACATCACATAGGACAGACTCCTACGCAGCTTTTTGGATTAGAGAGACCCTTCTGCTTTATGCAAAACAGGTGGATATGCAAGGACACTCATTTACTTCAGGTTTATTAAGATATTTCTTGCTACCACCCATATACTAGGCCTAAAATTAACTCCGATTTTACTCCTGTGCTACTTAATTTGTGTACAACATCTGAACACACATTGAGAAGACACTGGATCATCAAGGCTGTTGTCTTCCCCTGATTTTTTCCCAAAAGTCAAAGAAAACTCAAGTTTCAGTTTCTTTCTTTCTTTGTTAATATCTGATATAATTGCTTTACAAGAGAAAATGGATTCACACTGTTCGTTGTGTGGTTTGAAGCCAATGAACAAACGCACAGTAAATTTACCAGAAGGTTAAGAATCAATGTACAAACAACAAAAAGAACAGGTATGAATTTTTTTTCCTCCTCTTCTAAGGGGTTTTTTGGGAGACAAACTTTTCAGCTTAGGACAAGTCTCGACTGTACATTTTACCCACATCTTGGTAAATAGAGATTGGTGTTGATGTTTTTGTCTACCAGTCAGTTCTAGACCCTCAAAAAGGATGTATTTTTACTTTGTTTTGTTTGATTACTTATTAATTGCATGAAATTACAGTCAAAATTCCATTAAATACCCATTGGTTTAAGAAACAAATTTGAATACAACTAGTGTGTAATGAAACAGCAAATACTTCTCTCAAGCTTCTACAACTCTTATTGAAACCTTGGTTTTCATTAGAGAATAGTCTACAAAATCACTACAGCTTATGAAGTAGATTAGACAAGTAAATTTAAAACTACGATTCTGAGACTCCTATTCACCTTCTAACTTGGGGATGACTTAAACTACAGAAGAGATTATCTTGTTTTAATATTCTTACCTATGTACATTTTTTGCAGCTATCTCTGCCTAAGATACTCCTCAGAATTGAAAGGGCAGACCACCAATGCATCACACTGCCCTGAGAATGATTAAAAACTTACATTCTCTACACAATTATATACTAACAACTATATTTTTAAAAACAGCTAAGGAATACAGGCGGTGAATGATCAGACCACCAGTAAGAAATACCATCTATTTATCCATAGATAAAGATACAATGCTCTATTGAATTTCATACTAAAAAACCTACTTGTCTTTATGAGCTGTAACTTAACAGCTCACAGCTAGATTGAAATTTACAAGCTATATTCTAAGTGACAAATGAGACTTTTGAAATTGAAAGGTGTTAGGAATTGAAAAGTGATAGAATATTCTTTAGCAAAACCTAAAACTGAAAGCACAGTTTACAAATCCTGTACAATGTTCAGAAGATTGCTAAAACTGAACAACGTATTGCAATATAAGCTTATATAATGCACTACTGGATTGTTAAGTTTTGCAATCTCAGTCAGTTCAGCTGAAAAACAGGGCTCTCCGTTAAATAAACAGGTGGCTTTCAGAGCCATCTAAGTGTATTCAAACTTCTAGAATAAAAAAAATCCCAGCATACAAGTGATGGGAAATTAATAAATGTATGAAAGCAACTCTAAAGAAGTGGTAATATCAGTAAACATGGCTTTCCTCCCAGCCATACTGTATACTGCTCTTTGTGAAAATACTAACAAAGTTAGTCAAGTCTAGAAGTTTGTAAGTCTTGGCATCAGTGCATTTTGCTAAGTTTAGCAATGATGTCTGGCAAAAAGTGTATATAAGTCTCAATTTCTCTACCATGCAGTTCTACCAATAGACAAATTGTGGTAGTAGTATTGGACACCAAAGTTACACTGATACAATGGGTCCTTAATTTAGTAATAGCAATTTCCTCAGCAGAATGCAGGAATTCATTAGATATGCCCTGAATGTCTTTGGCACCTGTGATTCTGATAGGCAACATCAGCTTCATCATTGGACGTTCGTAACAGAGGAAAGTGCTGGCACTGACCATCCTAATAATGTGATATAAGAGGTGTGAAGCTCACAGCAGAAAGCAGTGGTGCTGACACCACATGTTGGGCCCTTGTCATTTGACATTAATATTACAGGTAGTTCTTGGTAACAAATGAACTTGCTGCAAACCAGTCTGCAAACACTTAGAAATTCCTACTAATGAAAAGAATTGAAGTGTGAGAAACTGTACCCACGTTTACTACATTGATTCCACATTAGAAAGTACCTAGAAATCAAATATTGTATGTGTCTTACACAAGGATTAGTTCTTGGATGAAGTCTCCCAACAGACAAGCAAATCTACATATGCTGTCTATGCTACCAACAACGAAATAACGAAGTGTGAAATATACCCAAGGGACATAAAGATTGCTCCCTCCTTGCTGCCTGTGGAGAAGGGGAAAGAGCTCAGATAATTGGATCAGAGCACATCCCTGTTCAATATCAAAGGATGATGTCATGATACAATGGTAAAACTTCATGCATTCCCCTAAGAACATACTTCTAAAGCAATTTTCATACAGAGTCCACTAAAGAAGACAAAGAGGTTTCCAGCTGCTAGCTCTTGATAATTCTGAGATGCAATAGCATATAAACAGAATATTTAATGACTAGAAAACTAATGCTACTTTAGATAGGAAGTTTCTAAAATATATATCATTTTTCCTTCTAGGGCCTTTTCAGATGGACTGATATAAAGCAGGTCTCTTTTACAGTTGAAAGGGTACGATAAATAGCATCGTATAATTTTAAAATGGTGTACACAACATTTCAAAAGTAAATTTTCTATTGAAGACACAGCAGATCCAGAAGACATGATAATATGCTGTTGCATAAAAGTTTTATTGGTACTCATAACTCACTTGCGATTTCATTGTGCTCGTGGTCATTCTGAGCTTAACCTGCTTCGTATTTTATTCCACATCATTTTATATATTTTATATTCATAAGCATATAAATGCATCCATGTCTATGTCCAACCCTCCCCCCACCAATCTCCACGTCTGACAGATCATCATCTGTCAGTTTAAAGATGGGACAAGCACAGCTCCTAATTTTTGCAGGATATAATGGCAATCAAAGATATTACAGCATATCAGCAGATGCACTGACCTACATTAGTAAGGATTTTCTAACATATCAATACCTCACCTGTGTATCTCAGTTTGGGTGGTAAAAATCAGTGAAATAATTTAATGCCATGAGTTTGCATTTTGAATGAAAACAGGGGAATGGCTGTGGTTACAAATAAGTATTTTTATCTACCATTTCAGAATGCAGCTCGGAAGCAGACACATAGAAGGCCCACTCAGTTTTAGAAAAGGAGTTCACATTTACAACTCACTCATTACTCTTTCTTTAAGCCCAACATAGGTAACTGGGGTGTGATCATCCCTCTGTACTCAGCTCTGGTGAGGCTGCACCTCGAGTACTGTGTTCAGTTTTGAGCCCCTCGACAATGAAAAAAACGTTGAGGCCCTGGAACGTGTACAGAAAAGGGCAACAAAGCTGGCAAGGAGTCTGGAACACACATCTTACAGGGAGGGGCTGAGGGAGCTGGGATTGGTTAGTCTGAAGAAGACTCTGGGGAGTCTTCTCTGGGGAGGCCATATCACACTCTTCAATTACCTGAAAAGAGTTTGTGGTGAGGTAGGTGTCTGCCTCTTCTCCCATGCAAGTAGCAATAGGACTAGAGGGAATGGCATCCCGTTGCACAAGGGGAGGTTCAGGCTAGATGTTATGAACAATTTCTCTGAAAAGGTGGTCAGGCATTGGAATGGGCTTTCCAGGGAGGTGGCTGAATCACCATTCTGGATGCTCTGAAGTTTTTCAAGAAATGTTTGGATATTGTACTAAGGGACATGGTTTGGTGGGGAAATATTGGTAAAGGTGGACACTGGAACTGTATGATCTTGGAAGTCATCTCCAAAGTATGTGATTCTATGATTCTATTTCTTTAAGTGCAACACAGACAACTGGGGTTCCCTGAAGATATTGGTCTCTCCCCAGTTCAGCCCCATATACCAGAAGCAGCGAGGTTTTACAGTGCTTCCACTGCACTGGTCATAAATAGAGACTGAAGTGGGTGCAAAAGCCATAAAACAAGGTTTGAGGGACAGACAGGCTACTGAGATCCAGCTAGAATGGTTAAAGCCAATGGACAGCGTGCCAGTAGTGTTCCACCATTGCTTTTGCTCATTTTTATTAGTTACAAGCAGAAAGGTATGATACAATGAATAGGCAATTATTATCAGAGTTCTTTTGTGTTTCTGGAGTTCTACTGAAATCCTCCTTGACTTCAGGAGAAGCTTTACTACAAGGGCAACAGTATACTGGAATGGAGCACTTCTTGTAGTACTAAACAATATCATAATTGTTAAT